ACATTCCCTGCTGCTACCCACCCCGGTTCCCCATTTGCCATCCAGCGGTGGGAGCCTTACGGCTGGGTGAGGGACTGAGAAGTCAGCCGTTCCCACCCGCTTGCCGGCCCCAACCCTGCCGCCGGTCGCCCTCTGTGTGTGGGGTGACCGGTGGGGCAGGGGCCTTGGCCTGGCACCGCCTGCATCCCCCCCTACCCACCCTGGGTCCCCGTTCGCCATCGGTGATTGGAGCCTGCCAGCCGGGGAAAGGGACCTAGAGGAGTTCAGTGCATCTCATAGTGACTGGTCAAGCTGTCGTTCTGGTCGTTCTGCCTTATGGTCGCTGGGCTTTTATTATATAGGACTAGAGGCCCAATGCATGAAATTCATGCAAGGGTCTCAGCCCTCATAGCCCCGGCTTTGTCCAGAAGGTCTGGCTGTCTGGTCTAATTAGCATATTACACTTTTATATTATAGATAGAAAGCAGTCAATTTGAGGAACTGTATCACTATTCTGAACATGATTATTTTATTTTATTTTTTATTTTTTTAAAAATATTTTATTGATTTTTTACAGAGAGGAAGGGAGAGGGATAGAGAGTTAGAAACATCGACCAAGGGTCTCAGCCCTCACAGCCCCGGCTTCGTCCAGAAGGTCCAGCTGTCTGGTCTAATTAGCATATTACACTTTTATTATTATAGATAGAAAGCAGTCAATTTGAGAAACTGTATCACTATTCTGAACATGATTGTTTTAATATAAAATGGTTCACTTAGCTATTAGACATATGACAGTGGTGGGCGAATCATACCAGATCCCAAAGACAAAATAGATGCTAGTTGAGTCCTGAACCCTCTGATCAGAGGCTCAGGGTTTCCCAGGTACTTGAACTTTTCACCTTACAGGTACCTGCAGCCACTGACTGATTCCCTTTGGCTTCTGTTTGAGTAACACAGGCTTATTCCACTGTCAGTTTAAACGGGCATTGCTGTGAAATTGACATTCAGCGTGATCCACTTCACAATTGCTCCTGTCATTCCTGTTTCCTGTACATTTGACCGTTTTAAGATTACTCTTCAAAACACATACTTAAGCATTATTGTCTTAGCTTAGTAGAAATAAAGCAATAAAGGCATGATTTTTATTGAGCAATCGGCACACTCCTGCATCCAAAGGCAACATAACCCTGTATATTGGAGACAAGCAGAATCAGCTGACAAATTTGGGCAGAGAAAACGTGCTTTCATAGCTGATGGAGTGACTGTGCAGTATTACTTTAGGAGGGGCATTTAACGCCGCAAGTTTGGTTTCAAATAATTTTGAGAGAGAAAGGACATGTTGTTCCCAAAGGATTTTTAAATCATCTGTGGATATTTTTAATAAAAACCTGATCAATTTCCTGAGATGGAAGATGCCAAGATTCCCCTCTGTTATCTGTGATGCTATTAATAACACAAAAGGAAAGCTGTTTTTATTAAGTTTAGACAGCTTTCCAAGACATGTTTTATTTCCCAGTTGAACTAATGTTTAGAGGTTTAAAAATGTGAAGCTTTGATAGTGTCAGACACATTTTTTATCCTTTTAAAAAATAAAGAGCTCAAGGCCTTTCCTGAAGAACTGATTTTAGCATTATTTTTAAAATTATATTTTACGTTTTTAAAAAAGTAGACCATCAGAATAGCTAACTTAAGAAACCAAAGGAAAAATAGTAAAACAAACTAGTGTTTTACTCCCTGGTGCCCTGATGTATATTGTGTTCAGTCAGTGGGTGCCATTAACCTGGTACCCACCCATGTGACACTGAGGGGGCTCTAGGGGTGCAGATATGTGGCAGGACTGCATCCTCATTGCCTGGGCACAGCAGGTGCTCAAACACAGTTTGTTGAATGAAAATATGAGTCCTTTCCTAGCCTGGGGAGCATCTGAATTTTATAGCACTTACTTAATTGTGTATGGGAATGGAATAAGTCTGGGGGAAATCTCCTCTTGTATGCCACATATACAGATTAAAATTTTTTTTGAGGTGAAATTCACACAAAATTGAAATTTTAAAGTGAGCAGTTCAGTGACATTGAACACATTCACAATGTTATGGAGCCATCACCTCTGTCTAGTTCAAAAACATTTTCATCACCCCAAAAGGAGACGCTGTGGCCACTGGGGATGAATTTGGGTGAAGGTTAGTTTTGGCTAGGATAGGGCGTGGACTCAGATCTGGGCTTCTCTGATGATTTAGTAACTAAACATTATTGTTTTAAGCCAGTTCATCCTGAATGTATGTACCTCTTGGCTTCTCAGTGGGTGGAGTGCTGCTGTGCTAGGACTTGGAGCCTGGTTCTGATAGTAAGGTAGAGCTTCGTTTTGTGGACGTAAACTTGTCTGGGAACATGTGTCCCGCTGGCAGCTGGTTTCACAGGCAAGCAGACTCCACAGACCCTGTTGGCTTGTGTAAAAAGACATGACATGTCTTAGAGATAGTTTTAAAAGCAATCTTTGGCCTTGGCCGGGTAGCTCAGTTGCTTATAGCATTGTCCCAATACGCCAAGGTTGAGGGTTCAATCCCCGGTCAGGACACATACAAGAATCAACCAATGGCCTAACCTAGTGGTCGGCAAACTGCAGCTCGTGAGCCACACGCGGCTCTTTGGCCCCTTGAGTGTGGGTCTTTCCCACAAAATACCAACGGGGCGGCCCCGACCGAACAGGGGGAATTTAAAAATTTTGGGGGCCCAAGCGCCAGAAGTTTTTTTGGGGGAAAAGCCACACTCAAGGGGCCAAAGAGCCGCATGTGGCTCGCGAGCCACAGTTTGCCGACCACTGGTAACCGGTTTGGCTCAGTGGATAAAGCATCGGCCTGCGGACTGAGGGGTCCCAGGTTCAATTCTGGTCAGGGGCATGTGCCTGGGTTGCGGGCACATGCCCAGTGGGAGGTGTGCAGGAGGCAGCTGATCGATGTTTCTCTCTCATTGATGTTTCTAACTCTCTCTCCCTCTTCCTTCCTTTCTGTAAAAAAATCAATAAAATATATTTTTAAAAAAAGAATCAACCAATGAATGCATGAATAAGTGGAATAACAGGTTGATGTTTCTCTCTCTCCCTTCCTCCTCCCTCCCATTCTCTCGCTCTCTTTAAAATCAGTCAATAAAAAAAGCAACTCTTTATTTGAAATGATATAAGAAACTTTGCCCTGTAAGAATGATGTACCAGTTAATCGAGATCTTTGGCATACTTTAAAACTAGCTTCAGACTGGGGTTGTAATCGGTGTGACCTTGAATGAGAAATTAAATTTTTCTTTGGTCCTATGTCTTCAGTCACAAAAATAAGTGGATTAAATCTCTCTGGACTGCTTCAGTCTAAGCTATATTGGAACTTTAGTCTTTCTAATTTCTTCCTGTTGTAAAAATTAATTGTCCTCATTATAGAAAATTACCAACATATATAAAGGGAACAAGAAGGTAAAAATGGTCCCACTGATTAAAGACAACCACTGTTAATATTTTGGTGTGCATCTTCTTTATTACTCGTTTAAAAAAGCAGTATTCATATAACATGAATATGTACTGATTATGAAAGATCCAAATGCTAAAAAGGATGGTTGGGAGTGAGAAATGAAAGGTGCCCATCTTTTCTCCTTGCTCCTGGGTAAGCCTTCATACTGGTTAGTGACTGGATCCTTTACCAAATATTTAGACACAGGGAGGTTATTACATTTTTATTTTATTTTACTAGCACAACTGGGATAATTCTAGGCTTACTGTTTTGTGACTTTTTTAAACTGTATTTCTTGGAGTTCTTGTCAGTACATCAATTTTCTTTTAATGGCTGAATATTATTCTCAAAATGCATATAGCATAATTTAAGAATGTCTTTTTGATGAACATTTAGGTTGTTTCCAAGTACTTAGTATTTTGAGTAATGCTGCAATTGTCAACCTTGAACATAAACTTGCATGGCTCTGTTTGAAGGATAGGTTTCTCTGAGTAGACTTGCTGGTCCCAGAACATGCCTGTTCTCAATCCCAGTGCTAAGTTCCCCTTCACAAAGGGAACCAAGGTACCCCATTCCACCAAGAGCATAGTCTCTGTAATACCTTAAAGTAGCTTTTCTCCCACACCCTGCTAAACACCAGATTCCCCTCGAAGAATTTCCCCCTAATTTATGCTACAAAACTCAATTTAATTTTAATGTTCATTTCTATAATTTTAAGTGAGGTTCAACAGCTCTCTGTGTTGTGTTTTTTTTTGGGGGGGGGGGCAACTTAATTTTTTTCTGTGAATTTGCATGCTCCTACCCTGTGCCATTTCCTTTGGATTGTGTGTATGATGGATTTGCAGGTGTTCTTTGTGAAATTCTGATGCTGATCCTGTTAGGTGTCGCACTGTATTTTCTCTTATGCCATCACTCATCTTTCACTTCCCTTTATGGTAGTTCACAATACCAGAATTTAAACATTTTTATACTTTTCTTCTCTGAGTTTTTAAAATGTAGTTGTTTGATTCATACGAATAATTATTTTCAGTATTATTTTTCAAGACAGGCAGCCAGGACCTAAGGCGCCTGTGTCACAGGGCATGCATGCAAGGGGGTTGTTACTAAGTCAGGAGAGCGCAGTATGAGAGTGCTGGTAGGCCACTTCCTGCCGTACGGATGGCACTTGGAAGTCATTATCTTTACTCGGGAAGGCAGCTCATTATGTCTCTCCCTGGCTCAGAAACAGCAGTTCTGCTTTCTTTGGATGTTCTATTTTGAGTCTCCCTCAGCTGACCTCCTGTTCACGCAGCCTCCCTCTGTGGGACACGTGCTATGTTTCTCCTCTATCAAAACACACGTGGTTACTAATGCAGCACACACTTGTTGCGAGTTTCATTTAAGAACACCGCAGATTTGGCTAAATTGATAGGTAGAGAATGCACAGTTTTTGTCTCTTATGAGAATTACAAACAACTTTGGGGGGAAATGTTTCCGTACTGCAGAGAGAAATACTGTGAAACAGCCTTTAAATGCAGTGTTTCTCTTCAGGTGGCCACGTCCAGTGGTGAACAGGACAATGAAGACACAGAGCTCATGGCGATCTACACAACGGAAAACGGCATTGCAGAAACGGCATTGCAGAAAAGGTACCCACTTCCATCGCCCCCCGCTCCCCGCCGCTGCTGTCTCAGGTTCTGTCCAGGACGTGTTCTTCATCTGGGTTTTGTCTCTACCCTGCGGAGTGGGTGTTCTCTGTATAATGGAAATAGAAGTGATGAGGAGTAGAAGTTACTAATTTTTTAAAATCCTCACCTGAGGATATGTTTATTGATTTTATTTTTTTAGAGAGAGGTTAAGAGACCGAGAGAGACAGAGGAACACTGCTCTTGTACGTGCCCCAGGAATCAAAAGAAGTTACTAATTTTTAATTGTCTTAATGGCAATTAAGCTAAGTCTCATATAGAGGCCCTTATTTATATATTTTTAAAAGCCTCAGCCAGCATGCCAGAGGGAAGGGGTTAAGAGTTTGGGTCTGGGTGCTAATATGACTCAGACCCTGATAATTACTTAAACTCTCTGGGCATCAGTTGCTTCATCTCTAAAATGGAAGTAAACAAATTTGTCTTAGGGTTGTTGTGAGGGTTAATTGAAATAATATATGTAAAGTTATTGGCATTGTGTCTGGTACATACTACGTATGCATTGACTAAGAGAATGAGAGAATCCAGTAGATAGTTTATTGTAGACTATGAAAACGCCTTTAATGAAGGAAGCTCTGACCAAAGCAATAGAAATCACACTAAAAGTGGGAGAATCTCCTTTTGCTTCATCCTGTCTCCTTAACGGTCAGTCTGTGTGACCATTTTCCTAGATGCCAGGAGAGCTGCCCAAAGAGGGGCCAGATATCTGGATTTTTTTTCTTAGTATCTAACACATGTGAAAAGTTTGATAATATGGCATTTTCAGATTGCATTGCAGCCCTGAGACTTCTCACTTTCATTTGATAGACTTATTTATTGATTTTATTTTAGAGAGACAGGAAGGCGGGGAGAAGAGAGAGAAAGAGAAAAACAGTGATTTGTTGTTCCACTTCTTTATACATTCATTGATTGATTCTTGTATGTGCCCTACTGGGGATCAAACCCGCAGCCTTGGGGTATCAGGACGATGTTCTAAATAAATTTTAAAAATAGATTTTAACTTTATGGTGACAATTACTAATTTGATCCACTTATATAATGAGGCATTAGTTCCAGAATCACTGCTTTGGATTATAGACAGTAGATTCTGTATATTCTACTCACAAAGACCACTAGAAAGTTGACACATGCAAATATAATACCCAACTTGGTTGAGTGCAACAATTTTGCAGTATAGTCAGTACAGTGATAACAAATATTATATTGGAATTTTGGAATAATCAAATTTTTATGTATGTGTGGTTTCTTTTTAAAATTTCTAGTCTGTGAATAGACATTTCATTTTTGGGTATCTTGATCAGTATTGCTATTATTTGGTCAAGCTATTATAAATTAGACTAGAGTCATGCTGAATGTTGAAATTCTTGTGGTGTTAGATTCCATACTGCTCCTCAGAGTGCAGAGATGAGAGCAGCTACGGTCAGCGTGTAGACCAGCCGTGGGCAAACTACGGCCCACGGGCCGGATCCGGCCGTTTGAAATGAATAAAACTAAAAAAAAAAAAAAAAAAGACCGTACCCTTTTATGTAATGATGTTTACTTTGAATTTATATTAGTTCACACAAACACTCCATCCATGCTTTTGTTCCGGCCCTCCGGTCCAGTTTAAGAACCCATTGTGGCCCTCGAGTCAAAAAGTTTGCCCACCCCTGGTGTAGACTGATGCCTGCAGTCTAGGCTGGCTTGGGTCTCAGCATCTTGTAGCAAAGTGCTTCCGAATTTATAGACTTGTTGGGTTGCATCCAGTGCTAAGGTCCTGGGTCCTTAATCACAGAGTTAGATGTTTCTAACTCTCTATCCCTCTCCCTTCCTCTCTGTAAAAAATCAATAAAATATATTTTTTTAAAAAAAGAAACATCGATGAGAGAAAAACATCGATCAGCTGCCTCCTGCACACCCCCCACCGGGGATGTGCCCGCAGCCAAGGTACATGTCCTTGACCGGAATCGAACCTGGGACCTTTCAGTCCACAGGCCGACACTCTATCCACTGAGCCAAACCAGTCAGGGCTCATTGTTGTTTTGATTTGCATCTCTCGGACGATTAGTGACTTTGAGCATGTTTTCATATGTTTCTTGGCCTTCTGTATGTCCTCTTTTGAAAAGTGTCTATTTAGATCCTTTGCCCATTTTTTGATTGGATTGTTTATCTTCCTTTTGTTAAGTTGTATGAGTTCTCTGTAAATTTTGGAGATTAAACCCTTATCTGAAATAGCATTGGCAAATGTGTTCTCCCATGCAGTGGGCTTTCTTGTTGTTTTGTTGATGGGTTTCTTTTGCTGTGCAGAAGCTTTTATTTTGATGTAGTCCCATTTGTTTATTTTCTCCTTAGTCTCCATTGCCTTAGGAGCTGTATCAGTAAAGATATTGCTACGACATATGTCTGCTATTTTGCTGCCTATGGAGTCTTGGAGGATTTTTATGGTTTCCCGTGCTGCTCCCATTTTCTGATACTGAATGTGGCAGTGAAGAAAATGTGATCAGTCTTTTCTTCTTATCAGTATATTGATCTTTTGCCTGTCTTATGGATTCTTTATCTTTGATATTCAGTAACTTTACTTAGACATGTGTTGCTGTTTTTTTGGGTTTTTTTGGGGGTGGTGGTGATGGTAGAGAATTATGAATTTATTAGATCATCTGGAAACTCAGATGAGCTGAGTCTCAAAATGTCTCCAGTAGACACGCGACGGGGAGTCAGATTTTAAAGGACTTTAGGCGGGCTTTTTCTGGGCGGAAAATTCTCTGGGCTGGTCCTGAGGGGAAAGATAATGGTGTTAGCAAGTGGAATGTAGTCTTAGGGAAAGGGAATGTCTATTGTGAAATGATTTGAAGGTCTCTTCCCAGGGAAGGGGATATCCATGCGATATTTGATCAGACCTAACATTCCAACCTTTTGTTTTATGGAATAGGGGGAAGGGCATATCTTCCGTAGTTACTTCCTGCTGAGGGGGATGAACTTCGATTGTAGTTGGCTGGAACACTATAGATTTCTCATGGTTGGAGCGAGGGGTTGCAGCAGCATGATTTCCCCAAGAGACTGGTTAGTGAAGGCTCAAAAGCCATCCTGTTGAGTGGCTTGGTAGGTAAAAGCTGGTCCTGAGGCTACCAGTGTCACTTGTCTGGTTTTGCTGCTTTTCTGGACCTGGATCTGAAATACAACTGAGGCCTAGATGTTATCTTTAGGGAGGAAAAGATCTGGGGTCTAAGCTGCCTGACTAGTGATATGAAAGATCAGGGGTCCAACCACATGACCGGTTAGTTACCCTGGGGGCGAGGTTCTTGCTTTCCCAGTTTGCCCCTTGCTCTAGGCATCCAGAATTTTCTGACCTGGCCCATTGTCTTTGCTCTGGGAGTCAAAGGGAGATGAGGTCTGGGCACAAAAGGCGGTTGTGATGGTGCCTAGGGGTGGTATTTCCTGAGTACAAGTAGGGGTTGTAACCTGTGGAGACAAACTTTTGTATATTTTAGTATTACGGGGGCAAAAGCTGGAACAATAAGAATTATGACAAATGGTCTGATGGGAGGAAAGAGACATTAGTTTGGAGGGTTGTAGTCTGATATACCAAAATGAGGTTTATTCTCTTGGCTTCATTTGTCCTTGGTTTAGGAAGATAGAATTTAGTAGATGGCTGCCGACTGCTTGGCATCTGGATTTTCTAGATGGCTGGAAGCTGCTGTTTAATGATCTCAGCTTCCCTATTCTACTTGTCTTGGCTTACTGCTTACAAATTTAACTCATTTTCTTTTTCTCTCAAAATGCCTGTCCATGCCTCTGCCTTTTATTACCAAAACCATACACTTTCTTTCCAATTTAATTAGAATTCTTAACTCTTAGAAACCTTAATTTTCCAATGATAACCAAGAAGTAAACAGCCAGCACATCTTAGATTGACATTTATGAACACTCTCACTTTCAAGAAACACAACTTCAATAAGGCATCACATTAACAGTTCCAAATCTACTTTATAGATTTTCTGTAACAAAAGCTATAATCAGGTGAACTTAAAATGTGTTGAAATATTTAGATGTTTATCATTTAACCCAGCAATGCGCCAAAGCTTTTAAGAAGACTTTGGAAAATTATGTATAGGCCCTATGAAGCTGGAGGGGGGTGCGGGGAGCAGGCCCCGCAGCCTGTTCTAGGACGGTAGTTTCCAGGCCTCCGGCCACTTGTATTAAAAGTAGCACATTTTTCTTTAGAGATAACATGCTTAGATTTGGGTAATAATGAGTTCAACCTCTGATAATAGCCACTGTTAAGTAAGAATTTGCAGATTTGCAGTAAAGAAAGTAGTTCTTTGGGAAGGGCAGGGGGGTGAGAAGGTGCTGAGGTGAGAGCAGCTTTCAGAGCATTAAAGGGAGTGAGAATGCTGGCCTTGGGATCTAAAGGCTCAGTGAGGGGGTCCCTTCACTGCGTCATGGAGGAGCTTTGCGAGACGGCTGAAGTTGGGAACCCAGAGGCGAAAGTACACAGCGAGCCTGAGAAAGGAGAGTGTTTCTTGTCTAAAGGAGGGGACAGTTATGGAGGAGATAAGGTGTTTACGGTCCAAGGTAATGGCTCGACTTTGCGGGGTGAGAGTGAAACCAAGGTAGGTGACTGTGGTTTGGGACAACTGGGCTTTATGAGGGGATACGTGGTAGCCCTGGTTGGGCACCGAGGTAGAACGAGGAAAGAGTGGATAGAGGGGGTATTTTAGTAAGATGCAGTGTAGAGGTGAGGTGTGGCTAGTGGCTGTGAGACTAATCCGTCAACCCCCATAGTAGAGACTGAGGAGGGGACAGTGAATTCAGGGAGGGCAGAATGAGTGGCCCCCATGTCAATTAAAAAGGAGATCAGCTTACCTGCTCCACAGTCGTCACCGAGGCTCTGTTCTAGTGATATAAGTCTGTGGGGCTTTGTCAGGGCCGGGGCAACTTCAGTTTTTGGTGGCC